TGATAGCAATCGTATAATATCAAATATAGCATAATTGATATTAGATCGTTAGTGGCTATTCACATGTAAAATTATTAATAAGAAATATATTGATTACAATATATTTTCTCTCTTATTTTTAAAATTTTCTGAAAATGTAAACTCCCAATATTTTTTACATAAAACGCATATTTGAAATACAAAAAAAATAACAATTTATTAAAATTTATTATATTGCCTTTAGTGTGGCTTTCATCGAGAGCAAGGCAATCATGCCATCGCTTCTTCTGATCTCCCGTACTATCTTCGTCGACTGAATTCTTCCAGAAAATATTCCTTTATGCCACGAATGACTAGAAACACTTTTGACGAATTAGTAATTTTGACATTCGTTAAATATTTCGTCATAAAATGTACATAAAATCAATGATGGCTTTGTGCCTTCACATTACATTCCTAATGTGGTCGAGCAGTTTAAAATTTGATAAAACAAATTACCGTTCTTGTCTGTCAGTAATAGTAGACTGAGTCCTGTCACTCTCTTAAACATTAAATGGTATGTTATATGTATTGTGAAAATCAAAGCTAACAAACTAGAATTGTCATGTTGCATATTTTTCATTGTTCTTATGACTACATATTACTACAATAATAAAATTAATATAAATAATTACAACTTAATTATAAATAATTACAACTTTTATACTATGCCTCATAGTTATGAGTACCTGATCTTTGACGCAAAAAGGCAAGCTTTTTATTTTGGAAACTTGCTGTATAGTAAGGATGATATGCTTTATATTATGTCATTGTTATCGATCATACATACTAGTCAATTCACTTCATTTCACTGATCGTATACTATAAATTAATAATACTGAGTAGTTCTCCTCTAATATCTCAAATTTTATGACACTATAGAAATATTCCAGAAAATTCCGTTATATAGTGGATATCGTCAGCCATTTTGATAAGAATATCGGGGTTTCAAATTATTAACTTTCTCTGATTACCTTATTAAGAACTATATATATGCAATTTCAATATTATTTACAAAAACATTTAATAACAATACTACTAGAATACTACATTCCACATCCTTCTGGTGTTAGTTATTTCTAATTCGAACTTTCCAGCTATAAGGTTAGTTAGCTATTAGGTTAGTTTTTAATATATAATGTGACAGAAAAAATTGATAAGTTGAGCTGACTCTACTAAAATTCATTTCAAAATGTTCATATTTAGGAAATTAGAATCATGTCACTTTTTTTAATGATTTGTCTTAGCTTAATTCGATCAAATTATTCCATTAATCAAGATATATATTTTTCCTTAAGTACAATAAGTTTCGTTTAACATAATTAAATCAAATTATCATAATTAACAAAGTATCTAAATTTCTTTAAGTATACTAAGTTTTCTTAAGCATAATAAAATCAAATTACTCCAATAAACAAAATACATAATTTTTTTTAAATTAACGCTTAATTAAATAAATCCAAATAAGTCTAAAAAACTTGAAGCGTACAAGGAATTTCTAATATGATTATATTATTTTTAGAAGGGTACAGAATTCGTGTATACTGAGGTGTCATTTGATTTTGTTAGAAAGCACAAGTTCATGTACTCCTCAGTCAGTCTAGGTTCGAGTGAAAGGCCGCCGAACTCCAAACTCAAATTGAAATAATTTCCAACAAACAAAATGTTAAGGTAAATAAACAAACAATTTTTTTTTTTTTTTTGATAAATAGAATAAATTGAGCTCATTTCTTCTCTCCAAAGAAACATATTTGGAAGGTCTCACATTTATTTACAGTAAATGTCAAAGAAACAGACTAAGCAGTCTAGAGACGATATGATGCTATGATCAGTTTGTTTTTATTTATTATCTGATTCCCATAGAGGAACAAGTTGTCAAAGCAGGCATGCCCATGAATAGAATTGTTGATCGCAGGCAAAACGAGAGGGAATTCCACCTCAAACGAGCGTGAAGGCGCATTTATTATGACTTTGACACTATTGCTATTTTTAAAATAAATAATCGAGCAGTTAATTACAAAATTATACACAATATATTCACAGATGCTCCTTAGTACATAAAACAATAACAGTGAAAGATGGATAATCGTGCAGCACATGTGCCACGAAGATTATTTTAACGCTAATTTAAAGCACATTTTTTGTCGTACTTGTCTGCAAAGGAACGAAAATATTTTTACGTACCATAACTGGAAAAAGGGGGTTTAATAAGGAAAAAATGGGCGTCACTGTGTCACTTCATAATTAATTGCACAATTTTTTTCGTACCTTGTTTTTTAAAGTATTCTCCAGCGAACTGCCAGCCGTGGCAAGCAACATTCGCTATACTCGCAGGAATTCCTGATATGGTAAAATTGGCTCCAGCTTATAAATGCGCGAGCGACATGTCACAGAATGTGCTGACAGATTTTCCCGTCGTATTTCCCACTTTAATTTTTTACTCCATCATAATTTTCATTTAATTTTTTTTTTTGTTTTCATTCAAGTAAAACAGTAATAAGCTCCATGTCACATTATTATGAATTTTAATATAAAATTATATTGGGGAGGTCATGGCTCAAGGATGCTTCTACGCTTTTATATTTTCAGCTACATAAATAGATGCTGATGAGAAGAGTTCACGTACGAAGTGCGGCTCATGGAGTGATGAGGGCAATTAAGGCTCGGATTAATATGGTCCAATTAAATAAATGTGCATTTTTTGTGTTTGTACTACAGCTCATATGTGTACTTCTGCTCTATAAAATATTGCTTGTTAGTTTATATTTGACGGATTACCCACGAATAACTTATTTAAGAAAAAATTCACTTAAAAATGCGCACCTGCTTAATAACAGTAACGAAATTAGTAAAATGGGTCTATTAACATTAGAAGGTGTTTATTAAGCTTTATAAATATTTATTTATGAGCAATCAATAAACTGAGATAATAATACTGAGATAATAATGTAACTGAGATAATAATATCTATAGATGATTACCGATTGTTTGCACTGCGAGTTCACGATTAGGTAGGTGCGATGCTTAATTTTTGCTGGGTAGCTAAAGCATATCTACTTTAGAGTGTTTGCAATAATTTATGAGCCAAAATATCCTATCTTATTATTTATATATAATCTATGCTAAAAATTAAATCAAGTACAGTGAAGCATACAAAGTGCAAAAGGCCTTAGGTGACAACCAAGATTTTAAAATAAGTCGCATAAAAATAGGTTCGCCCATTAAAAAAGGCGATGCAATTTTATAACTGGTGGAACAAAAACGATACGTAGGCTGTCAGATGGTAGGAGACACTAAACATCAACCATATGATAGTTTGAAATTAATAAAAAGAACAGGCTACGCAAAGACACTCAATGTTTGGGGAACACATAAATTAACGCGAAGAAATTCGATGAATTACCATCAAAGAAACGTTGTTTAAACCAATAATTACAGACGATGAAAAATAATTTAAATAAGAGAATATCTAACTTATGCAATCATGGTCAAACGCCTGTAACTCTCCACAAATAACTTCAAGACCGGGATGAGTGACAAACAAGGTTGAGTGTTTGATAGAATTGAAAGAGAATTTTCTATTACGAGGTGCTTCAAACTGGTGCAACGGTTAATTCGCTTACAAGTCGATCATTTAAATGAAACAATCAAGAAAAAGCGACCAAAATTGATCAACAGAATAGGAAGAATGTTCCATCATCACAATGTCAAGATATTTCTGATGATTCGAAACAAATTAAAAGAATTTCATTAGAATTTCTCTACCATATAACCAGGACTTTGCAATATGTAACTAGCATTTGTGGTATTACGCTCTTTGTAAATCTCTCTTCATAATAAAAAATTGGCCGACCGAAGAGCTACTCGTTTGACCAAGTGACCAGAAGTTCTACACCTCTGGAATTATGGAGGTACTCGAAAAATGATAAGAAGTCATAAATATTTGCACTTATTTTACATAAACTTTATAAAAATTACTTTTAAGTTAAGAACATGTTTCTTCAAAAATGTACTACAAAAGTGCAGATACTCTTTATATCGCCAATAATTTTTACAAATGTTTTAAAGATAATAGATGACGTCAGGATTATATACTTTGAAACCAAAAATTAAATAAATCTTATTTGCTAAGAAATAAGGTAGAAAATAAGACTCGATAAGGCGATTAAACGAATAGAAATATGTTAATTTACAGCTCATGAGAATCCATTTTTGAGAAAGTTTTGAATATGAAACGAGTGATATCAAATTTTTGTTAGGAAATTTATGGATATTTCAATAACTTGTGATGGAATATAGTATTAATATTATGCTATTCTATGCTCCAGACATGGCACCATGTAATTTTTTTTTAAATTTCTAAAATACAAAAAGATACTCAAAAGTAGCAGATGAGATAATATGAGAGATAATCCCAGATTGTCTTTAATATCATATATACAGTGACATTCCTACAAAATATCAAATAGAAGTTACTTATAATGACATAGAAATGAATACATATTTATACATTATTATGAATTTAACAGCACATATAGACAATTCAGTAAAAGTGTTACACAATTTATAACCCCTACCCAAAGAAGTTTATTTACAGTTAAGAGACTATTAAGGACTTAACTATTGAGTTTTTAAGCTTTCGCGCTTATAGATTATTCCTGTTAAATATCATAAGTACTGAGAGCTCATTTTACGAACAGACAGCCAAAGAGACGTACATTATTATACCCAATATATATGGTTTATTTGAATTATATAGAGAACTCAAAATGAAAAAAAAAACCAGCACCCTGTTATCTGTTCCATAACCCTTCTAATTTTTTCTAGATTCTATAAAAAAAATCCTTACACTTTTAAAAAACTTGTCAGGATTTTTAACAAAGAAGTCGTTAAAAGTAAAAACAAAAATTCAAAAATTTTTACTTAAATTAGTTAAGTAGACTTTGACATTAGAAGTTAAAAAAAAGTATATACAAATTTATAAAAATCAAAAATTTTGAACTTATCGAGAGTTTGGGAAAAACTTTAGCCTTCAAATTTTTTTCGTTACTTGAATGTAAATTTTAAGTCGAGAACTTTTTAAACTTTTCTTGAAATAAAAATTTTAGTTTCAAAATTTATTATGTATTTGTCTACGGACAAGAAGCCACAGTCTAATTGTAAAATAGATTTTGAATGTGGAATGCAGCAGTCTACGGGTACCCAATCCATTGGAGATGGTGTTTCTAGTGCTAATAACACTGACCCAGAATGCTCAAAAAAACAAGTTATGAGTGTGAATGTTTCACGTAAGTCTGGCCAACCACCTATGTTGGTAGTCCAAAATGAGTTGGTACCAGGTAAGTGCTCTCGAAAATTTGAGAAAAATTATCAATGTTCGACTAAATGTCAAAACTTATGCTCTTATTTTTAAGATCAACATGATAACAAATGTGGAAGCAAAAAGCAGTTTGTTTCAAAGCCGCATCTAAATGGTAAATCAGGAGGTCATGATTTAATTGGCGACGGTGTAGATATTGGATCTAATTCGAATAAACATTTAACTGATGTGTCAAAGGGCGCGGTGCGTAAGTCAGGTTATGCGAAAAATTCTGCTGAGGTGTCCAGAAAATTGAATCGTGAAAAGGATTTGGACTGGCCAAATAATTACTCACAAAATCCAAAAAAAGTGCTTCGTGATTTCCTTGAATCACAAAGCCAGAATATGTGGCTTGATGATACCGAAACTGAATTTGTTTCAAAGATTAATTTTAATCCACGCAAAAAAGATGCTAGAAGACCATTACGTAAACTGAACCCTTTATCCAAACCAACTGCAGCCGAAGCTTCGCTGCGTGCCAATATTTTATCTTCAACTATAGATAGTAGCTTTATTGAAGGTTTCGAAAACAAGCGCGGTAGTGAAACAAAGCTTCCGCAAGAATTATCAAATCACAGGTCAATTGACGAGTTTCAAATGCTTCAAGCTTTTCTAAATGAACAACAAGTGTGGAATGAATTCAATCCATTTACTTCCAATTCCGGAATCGAAAATAGAAAGCTTGAAAATGGAGCAACAAATAAAAGAAAACCTTTTGCGATGAGTACAAAAAATAATGAATCTCATGAATCAGAGATTGGGTATGCTTCTTACTTGGACGGTGCAGGTAATGATTTACTGGAACAACTCAGTTTCGAATACCCAGACTGGGAAAATGAGAATTCTGCATCTATGCCCTTAGACAATTTATCATACATGTTAATTAATCAAGAATTTAACATGAGCCTACCTGAGGAAAACACAGTTACGGAAAATCTCGCTACAGGGTTTACAGCACCAACTTCTTTCGAAGAGCAATACTCTATTGCATCAAATGCAGATAAAGCTTCTAAGTTCCCTATGTCCTTTAATCAGGAATTATATTCAAGTTTATTTAATGAATACACAATGAACGATTATTCTGTAGATTCTGCAAAACAGCCTTGTGTTCGTAAATCATCACTAAACTTTATGAAAGAACAAAATTCAACTAAGCCATTGGTGACAGATGGCAATGTTGAAAGTAATCCAAATCAAACAATCAAGTTAAGTGCATTTGAAAAAGGAATTTGGAACAGTACGGAATTGAACTTTATTAAAAAATTATCGAGAATACAAAAGGTGTTGGACTGCAGTACCACTGAGATGTTTAAAGGTTGCGATGTGGATATGCTCCAACAATTGGATATATTGGAACCAGATGCGCTACAAAAGCTGTTAGGCTTACAGGATGATACCACGAAAATTAAAACTGCTGGATCTGCTAATGTTTCGTCTAATTTGAAAGCGGTGGCAATCAGTAAGACACACAACACACATCATTCAAAAGATTCGGACCAAGAAGAAGGAGCAACCTCCTTAAATATTAGTCCAACTAGATCCCAGAAATCTGAACTTAAGCATATATCAAAAATGTTTGACAAAGTCAATAATTCTTTTGAACAAAAACTGCGTTTAATAGACAATATTGAAGTATTGAGAGAACTTATTCTTATAGAAGAGGACAAAGGTTTGAAATTAATAAAGTATATTTTATTAGCTATTCACAAATTTTATTCCAGCTCAACGAATTGAAATGCTGGCTATGGAAGAAATGTTAACCCAGTCTTTGATGAACAACTCTCTATTTACTGAATATGAAGCAAGTACCCAAAACTCAGAAGAAGAGTGTTCACAAAACTCAGGGGAAGAAGGTTCCCTCGAGAACTGATGTATCAAAAATATAAACGCATTTTCTGTTTAGCTTTATATGATACACACGATTCAAATATGCCAGTGCAAAAATGAAACTGGTGAGGAATTTGTTGGGGTCCAGGAGGTGGTTAGTTACAATTTTATATCTGATTATTAAATGCATAAGTAAAAACTTTAGGCTTAAAAATATGTAGCAAAGAAATTCAAAATCTTTTTTAAGTTTATTTCGATAAGGATTAAGTGCTTTTAATGTAAGAATATTGTTATTGCTGTTACTTGATCACAAATATATGTGTTTAATGTCAATTCTAATGAATTATTTTCACATACATTCTTCCAAGTGCATACCCCAGTAAATTGATTCTTTCAATTAAATGATTAGCTGAAGTTTATGTTAAAAATACACTTTTGACTAATGTGTATATATATATAGGTTATTCTTTTACAAATCGGACACCTTTTTAATCCCATAACCTCCGTTTTGGTTGAAATTTTGTTATGAGCTGGTTTCATAAAATAAGAAATCCATGTTAAGAATAAATTTTGAAAAGTTTTTTATAGGAGATATGAATTCATGGGATTTTGAGAGTTAGCATTGTAGACACATTTTTAAAACTCCAATTTTTTTTGATTGGGATTAACCATTAACCATCTAGTTTTTTTAAAAACGGAAGCAAAAAAAAACGGCTCATCACGACACGACTTATGAACCTTCTTGTTATAGTAATGAATTAAAAAACTAATTAGTTCTACACTACCTCTACACTATCTGAACTGTTCGTCTACTAGAGATGTCAAAGTATTTGTTGTAATAGTCATCAAAGATCTCCAGAAGTTATTCATGTTAAGAGTTCCACGACATTTGATGTAAGTTCTTAAAAAACATTTTGTCCGTTTAATAGGCGAACCATGCGGTGTAAGCGATCTTTATAGTAATTTATCGCCTCTGTAGTGTTTTTATATTAACTCCATATCCATCCATTAATTATTTGTGTATGGAGCATAAACAAACTGAATAAATTTACAGAGCCTGCGATATGGCCGTTTAAAAATGTATTCACAATGCTAATTCACAAAAACCCATGGACTCATATCTCCAATTTCTCTCTTATTTCTTTTAAGCAATGTTGGCTATTTAGGTAAATATAAAGACGTGAAGTCTGATCAAAACTTTAAAATAAAACGTGTGGTATTCTCTTCAAGTGTATTATAAAAACTGTCGTTATTTATTTAATTAATTATATAAAAGTAAATAAAAGATTATTAAAGCTTGACAAAGATAAATTGTGAGAGGTTTTAACTTCAACACGCAATGAGAAAGGTTTTCTTATGCTATGAAAGGAGCTCATAAAAAATTTAAGCTATGTTAAATCGAAAGTGATATCATTTTTTGCTAAAATCCATACAATTTGTATAAGAATGACCCATATAATCTTAAAACTTAGTACTAAAATTACATATGAGTCAACGTCGCTATTGAAACTCATTCAAGTACAGAAATAGTTAAGGCTTTATAATAAATGATGATCAATGGATTAAAGACTTAGTCACAAATTTAATCACAAATTCAATACGATTAAAAGTTTCTTCGGATGGAATTTCACACGCAACCGACAGATTTCTTTGCAATTTCTAGAGCTATCATCTGGAGTGTCTGGAATCATCTATCAAATTTATGTCACTTATTTATGGGACATCCTGTAAGTACAATTCATAAAATAAATGCATTTTATTTTCTTGATAAAATGCCTTAAAATTGCAATTTGAAATAAATCGTTGCACAATAGATGTTCCCAGCTTACTCCTGTGAATATATTTGAATGCGTTTCCAAGGAATTTCTGTGTTTACAATATTTAACTGACAGTCCCATGTGGAAGTCGAGTATTTTGCATAAGTGCAACAATTAGATAAATATTTCTTACTCACTGAGCATTATATGCAGATATGTACCGAATGCTTTGTACAAAGCAGCTTTATGTCCTTCTTGTTTTGATTTTATTAAAGATTCCTCCTCTATCGTATACTCGGACTACTAATATGGGTGGGTGTAGAACTGTTTGTTGAAATATTTTGCATTCCACACGTTTTACGTTCCCATACTTCTGGATCAGTGTGTGTGTTGGATTTTAGGAATTGTTGAAATACCTTTTGCAACAAAGGGTTCCAGCTATTTTCTTGTTTTTTTTTGTTGTTTTTTTTTGTTATGGAATAAAACAATGGTACACTGGTAAGGATACTAATCATTTATTTGCTTTAGAAATTATCTTTAAGCAAATGTGTTTGCTAAAGATTATGTAAAACTATATATAAGCTTCAGCTTCATTAAAATGTGTTTTAATTAAGTTGATTTGTATGCAGAAACAACAAAGAATATTTCTTTCTTTTGTAATATTGTAATATCGTAATATAAAAAAAAACAAAATTTGTTTAGATTTGGTTTAATATTTACAATATTTTTTATTTAAATGATATACTGAAGTTTATTTTGAAACATTTACTTTTGCATTACTTGATGTTCTATCTGTATCTTAGCAAATCTAACGAATAAACAAGTAAATTAAAGTGCTCTTATTGTAATATTCTTGTTCCATATGGAAGAAAATGTTTTTGTATTTCCAATGTGCTTCTTTTTATATGTGAATATATATTCCTCTTCCTTCTTCAAGTATATTTATAATAGTGCAGATACGAGATACATATCTACATGTCTGCTCAAGTAAGTATTTTAGCCCAAAAGAATTTCATTTAAATATTTATTTTTCTTTATTTCGATTTGATTTCAGATACTTGGATTTTTTACTTATACATCTGCAAATTTCAGTAATTTTTAAAATTTAAGTTCTTTCTTCTTGTCTGCAGTAAGGAATACACCTGCACATTTAAATAAATAAAAAATTATTATTCTTATATCCTTACTGTACAAAAAATACACATACCAGAAGCAGTCTGTATCTGAGTAATATGAATAATACGAATATTCCATACTTTATTTATATTAGAAATTTAGTTAAGTGCAATAAAAATGAAATTATATTCGTTGTTCAACTTATAATAAAATTACTGAAATGTAATGTATGTAATACATTTCTATTTAACTATTACTTTATATGTGATGTATGTGATCATTATAGACAAAATTGTGTTGCCAAATATGCCAAAATTTTTATTGTTTCAGTCAATAATTTATTGGGCATATGGTTTTCCCGATCTTCAACATCTTCCATATTCTTCTGTATTCCTTCGTATCCCTTCATTCCTTACAGTATTTTGAAAGTCACACATTTGTTATTTGTCATCGATTTCTTTTGGTTTTTGTCTCGTTGTTATATAGTAGGACATACCGCATAATTTCTTTACATAGACCTGATTTTTGGTCTTGTTCACAATTTATAATAATTATAATTATGTTGAAGCTATTTGAGCCAGTGCACTTGAGCACTTTTGCTCTTTCTTAACTCGAGATATTATCAAAACTCCTCTTTACGCCTTGACTGGATTATTGTTCATCACTTCATTAGACTAAACAATAACTGACCTCAGATCTGCATACCTTCCCGAGGACCCTGTAAACATTCTGAGATTCAATAATGCGGTGTTGGTAAGTCTGTCAGTTTTTGCAAATAATTTCAGGGCTCTATCCATTATGTATTTTTTGATGCGAACAATCTTAAAGTCCCTGAGGATATCATTCGTCCTAATGTACCATGGTACTTTGAAAAGTCTTCTTAGAGCCTGACTTTGTGCAATTTCTAGCTGGCGAATAGTAGTGTTTGATTAGTTTTCGTATAATGGATATTTCAATAATAAATTCCCATAACAAGATGAGCATAACGCATTATTATTCCAGACAATTCTCAAAAGTCACTAGTGAAAAATGTTACCTTCATCGCCACAGGAAGGCTGTAAAAAAAAAATGACACCACTCCTTTGTGGTTTGATCTGGATTTATGAGAGACCTGAATTTTCTTTTAAATTACAAAGGTGTAACACAAACCAATATTTTGGACTATTATTTTTCAGTTAGTATTGAAGATATAAATATAAAAGATATACTGTTTCAACGAAATCATCATCAACAAAATGTCAAGCCACAGTATTACTTGATATTTGGTCTGGATATGTGATAAGCCCGGTTTTTTTTCTTGAAATCAAATCAAGTTTTTAAAGTCTGTTCTAATTAACAATTCTTTTTTAGATTATATTGAAGAAAGAAGTGAAAGATAGGAAATATGATCCCACTGTATTGTGTGGCATATGTACTTTTATTTAAAATGAAGTATATGTGAGACAGGCTATCCAATTTAATTGCATAAAGTTATCCTGGCTGCAGATTTTTTTAATATAAGCGAATTGTCAGAATTATCATCCAAAGCTATGGCTGAAGTTGGCAAGTGAACACTGACTCTAAGCTTCAAATTTGGCAGGGTATGAGTTTAATCCCTGGTACTTGCAGTCTCAAAAAATTATTTACAAATTAAATTAAATATAAGGAGTAATTCTAAAAGACCACGGATGGTAGGTATTTGACAATACTTAAAAGAACTGTATGATCAGCCAAAAATTTAATTAAGTAAAAATAATAAAAAAAAATTTTTGTTGTTGCAATTTTACTACTATTGGTTCAAAACGTGTCTATTGAAAATACTAATTTATATTAAGAATTTAGTTGCTTTTGTTAAAACGGATATTTAAAGTCAATTTATCATATGCAAATATTAGAGTAGTATATATTTTTCGAAAGTATTCCTTAGTAGTAAATCAAATAATAGTAAATTTAATAGTAAATCAAATATGTGATTTCTTATCACTGTTGAAGTATGTGATTTGCTAGGCTACCTTTTTATAAATAGTTACTACACTGTTTAATTCTACTATTATCGTCAATATTGAAACTATTAAAAATTGAAAAAGTAATAAAAACTATCAAAGTTTTCTGCATTTACTCGTTCATAACTGAAAAGAAAAACTTATGAAGCTTGGTTGTTATAAAGCCTGATCTTAAGAAATGCGTATACGTATGCCTACTTCTCAACTGAGTAAGCTCACTTAAATGCTTCAATGGCCCATTAGTTTATCTTAATATTTATATTAAGAAAATTGTTTGAGAAATGGCAAAATATTATCCCTAAAATCTCTGCAAAGATTTTATTAAAATAATTTACATACACTTGCCCGCATTCACTTCCAAAATTTGGTTAGACAAAGTTCTGTCTTAATCCCAGTAGAAGCACATTCTTAGGCTACCACCAAATAATAGAAGTTCGTAGTGAAATCTCCTCAACTGACAAAGTAAGGCACAGTTCGGTTTGCA